AAAATCAGTACAGACGCACACACAGTTACACACAGGCACACACACACATACACACACAACTCCCTGTCAGCATGCGTTTTCTGCATTGCATAGCTGATCCACCGAACATTCCACGGGGGAGGGGGGTGGGGTGCGGAGTGGTGCAAAGGGATGCCACAAAACGCACTTGTTTCAATAATTTGCTAGATATTTACACATATTCCGGGTGTACTTCAGTGGGTTCCAAGGGGCCAGTCTGCAGGGCCATTACACGTACGTGAGCACCTCGATGAAAATGAAAAGTGGTGGGAGGGGGGAGCATTTACCGAAAAAACGATCGGACTTCATGCAAAAAGCCGGTAATCATGCACCTGGATGTCCGTGCGGCTCTATAATGCACCACCTTCATCCCAACTAACGCCCTTCCTCCTGTATGAACGGGCTAAAGCACGGCCAGTATGAGCCGAAGTGTTAGGCTACAGCGTAGGGATCATTCTTGTTAATAGCGAGCGCAAAAACGCATGACCGCACCGGAGAGCCTGGTGCGTTCCACATTCTGTGGGAGAAAAAGGCAAAAGCACTGACACACTTTTGACGGACGACCTCACAACTGGAGCACCTTTCCTCACCAACGAGTGGACATCGTCCATTTTGACCCCTTTTATAGAACCCCTGGAAACGGAAGAGATGTCTATGCATGTGTATTTGTGTGTATATTTGTGTATTTGTATGTGTGTTTGTGTGGGTGTGTTTATGTATGTGTGTTTGTGTATGTGCGTTGTATGTATATTTATGTATATGATGTATGTATATATGTATGTGTATATGTATGTATATGTGTGTATGTATTTACGTGTGCGTGTGTGTATATATGTACGTAATGTATGTATGTAGGTATGTATGTGTGTATGCATGCATGTATGTATGCATGTATATTTATGTCTGTGTTTATGTGTTTTTGTGTATGTGTGTACGTACGTATGCATGTGTTTGTGTATGTATGTATGTGTGTGTATGTGTGTATGTACACATGTGTATATGTGTCTATGTACTTTTATGTATATGGTTGTATGTTTGTGTGTTTTGGTGTGTCTGTATGTGTGTGTATGTGTGTGTGTGACGAAAAGGGAGGGGGGAGGGGAGGCAGAACTACTCTTTTAAGTATTGTTTTTTTGACTAGTTTTCCAGCAATTCGTAGGCATCCGTACTCGCAACAAGGACCTTCCGGTGCTTTTCGATAGTCCGTTGGCAACAATCCAAATCCCAGTGAATGTCCCAGACCGATATTTTTCTGCACCAAAATTGTACCGATCTCTGGTAAAAATTGAGCGCACACAAATATCGTGGTGTACAAAATCGCGGTGTTTTATAAGTATACTAGTGATGATGAAACAAATTTCATTACGATTTCTACGGTATGGGCATAATTTTTGTGAAAAATTGCTGATTCTTTTTGGTTAATTTTTTCTGCTTGAAATAGGTTCCAATTCTTTGATTTCGCTTTTTTCCTCTTTTTTCCTAAACTTCCTTTTTCTAAAGTTCAGGTTTTCTTAAAATTTACGTTTCTTTGGTGCCTCTATGTTGTTTCTTTGCTAAAATTACGATAAATTGTCTAACTGTGCGATCATTTCATTATTCTTATCATATAGTTCTGGTTAATTTTTTTGCTTGAAATAGGTTTCGATTCTTTGATTTCGCATTTTTCCGCTTTTTTTCTAAATTTCTTTTTTTTAAACTTCAGGTTTTCTTAAAATTTATTTTCCTTTTTGTGTTGCTATATTGTTTCTGTGCTAAAATTACAACGATTTTTCTAACTATGCGATCTTTTCGTTATTCTTATGATACAACTTTATCATGATATCGTATTATTATTTTTATCAGATTGGTGACGAATTTTGCTGGGATGTCGGACACATCTGAGGATGAATGCGATGAT